AGAAAGAACCCGGATTCTGGGTATGTCACTGCCACCTCTGGATCCAGCCATGCCCGAAGTCTCTACACTATAGTTTTGTTGTTTTGTTGTTGCGGTTGTTGTTTACTTCTACAAACCAGTTTGTTTCCCTGTTGCTTGGACTAGTTTGTGAGCCTTCCCCCCCCCACTTTGGCTTTTTTGAAACAGGGTTTCCCTGTAGCTCTAGATGACCTAGAACTTACTATGTAGAACTGGCCTTGAACTCACAGAGATCCGCCTGCCTCTGCCTCCTAAGTAAGTGCTGGTACTACCGGTGTCTGCCACCACACCCAGCTCTAGTTTGTGAGCTTTCTTTTTTTTTTTTTTCTTTTTCTCAACAGAAACTGTTTATTGAAACCTCAGTTCTACAAAAAGCATGAAACACCCAGATACAAAGCAGTGGCCAGAGAGACCTGTGAAAAGAACACCTGGAGAGGAACCAGAAGAGGGGATGCCTTGGAGCAGGGAACTGAGGTTGAAGACAAAAGGACAAGGTTGAAAGACCCACTTGGCTGTAAAGACTACATCCAAGGGATGGGTGTGGCACGCTTTCCCACCACAGGAAGCCTTCCTGCAGCTCCCACCTGGGACCATCAGTCCCTGGTTTTCCTGCTACAGGGACATCACACAGGCCCATGTCAATCAATGCTTTCTTCCTCCCCTCACCCTACTTCCCCTACCTCTCACCTTTACACCTTTCCATCCTAGGAAACTTAAAAGCAAAAGTCTAGACAAACTCTGGGGAGGCAGAAATAGGCAGAGATCTGTGGCATGCCCCTACTCACTGAGCTGAAGGTACCCCAGGCACCATCAGTGTCTTGGCCTACCAGCTAGCCTCTGAGGTCCAGGAGAGTGAATGACCTTTTCCTCTGACCCACAACCCTGTATGGTCCTACCTAGGAGGACAGAGGACTAGCCAAGGACCCAGAGAGGTGGCAAAAATCTAAATCAAGTTTCTCCTCTTCCAGGTTCTTGGGGACTCCCGAGCCCTCTAAATGCATTCCTCAGAGTCCTATCTAACCTGGGAAAATGAAAGACTTGAGGTAGGCCAACTCCATGACACTAAAAAGGGAACACTGTCGGGGTTGGAGGAATGGAGGGACCACAGGGCTCCAAAGCCAAGGTGGGCCTAGGCCATGGGTATGGTAAAAGGAGCGGGAAGGCCCAACAGAGACAGAATGATTAGGGGGGCAGCAGGTGCAGCAGTCTGGGGGCAGGTCTCGAGCTTCTGGCAAAAGGGGCAGTTATGGAGAAGAGTAGGTGGGGCAGGAGGGTCTAGGGGAGGCAGTGGAGGGTGTGTGAGGCCAGAAGACTGCCCCAGAGTGAACAAAGCCCTATGTCGCATTCCAGGCAACTGGAGACATTAGTAGTAGATGGCAGGCACTGTGGCACAGAAGGTATGCAGGGCTCCAAGAGGCTTTAGGGACAAGTCTGAGGTCAGGAGAACCCGGTGGGGTGCTTCAGGACAGCCCCAAGGACTGGTGTATTACAGCCATCGATGCCAGAGTCAGGGCGACACTGCTCACATATGCCACAGCCAACAAGCTGGACAGCTTCACCAGTCGCTGGCAGAGGGAACCAAGAGACAGCTGCCATGCTGGCTGCTCCAGCAGCACACACAGGTCTGTATAGGTGTACCAGCCATGCCACCATGCTTGCTGTTCAGCCACGCTGCTCTCTAGCCAATTCAGAACCTCAAAGATCTCCCGAGGGTCAGTATAGAGACACCAATCCATGGCACTCAAGAAGCCCCTTTCCAAGGCATTGAGAGTAGGCACAACCACTCCCTCAGCAGCTCCCCACTCATCATTGAAGACTTCCTCCTCCTCCCCTTCGTCAGAGGTATTTACTGGCCACCATCATGGAGATCAAAAACAAGTCAGAGGATGATACATGCTGCAGGTAGTCTGGGTTTCGCTCAATGTACACCAGAGCTAGCATCATAGCACAAAGGGAGATGCAAGCCTCCCAGGACACATGAGCTACGTATTTCTTCTGGAGTCATTGAATAGCGCTGGGTGCTGCCTTCTGAAGTAGTTCCACAGCAATGTCTGCCCACGGGGCCGAAGAGCTCCTCCAGGCAGCAGTCAGTCTCCAAGTCCAAGGCATAGAACAGTCTCCTTCAGGTTCGAGCACTTAGTTTCTGATGTCCCGTAAGGAACATGAAGTCCTGGAAGCCAGTGAGGGAGAAGATGCCTTCTTCGTCCAGCAGGAGCCCAGCCAGGGCCATCGCCCTTTATGCCTCTTAGGAATTTTAAATTCTCTGGTGAGGTTCTTACAGTATCAAAAGATTCTAAGTAGCTAGGCATGGTGGCACACCTGTGATCCCATCCACCACTCAAGCCTGAGGTTAGGATTGTAAATTTAAAGCCAGAATGAGCTACCTAGCAGGACTGTCTTAAAAAACAAAGTCTAAAGTCAGGCTTGTGGGCAGAGGCAGGCAGATCTCTGTGAGTTTGAGGCCAGCCTGGTCTATATAGAGAGTTCCAGGTCAGCTGGGGCTACAGAGAGACCCTGTCTCAGAAAGACCCCCCCCCCAAAAAAAAAAACAAAGTCTATATCCTTTGGTTCTTAAAAAGGCAAATCTGAAGAAAATAAAACATGGGAAGTCAGAAGCTCAGCCACTACCTGGGACTAGAGCAGGCTAGCAAGACTTTCTGCACCTACAGCAGTTCCTGTGTTACGTGACTGGCATCGGCCTCATCCCTCACTTGCCCAGTGATTATGAGAATCATATAAAGATACAAAGGAGGGCTGGGAAGATGGCTCAGTGGATAAAGTGCTTGATGCACCAGCATGAGGCCCGGAGATCACCAGAACCCAGGTAAACCCAGGTGCGGAGGTACACTCCAGTAACCCCAGTGCTGGAGGGGTAGAGATAGGCAGAGCCTAGGGTCCTCACCGGCCTGATAGGCAGAGCCCAGGGTCCTCACCGGCCTGCTGGCTAGTCTAGTTGAAACTATGAGATACTTTGTCTCAAAAAGAAAAACAACAAACATACACACACTAAAAAATAAAACAACAAAAAGGAAATCACTCTGAAAAACTGAAAAATCACTGGACAAAAAACATTATTTTTATAAACCTAAAACCTGACCGACTCAACCTTTAAAATTCTGCCGCCCATAACTATCAAGAACTTAAAAAAAAATTTCAAGCCTCATGAAACCAAGAAGAGGCAGTGGGGGAGGGGCAATTCTTGGGCCCACCCAGGAAGTTTCCACCCTCCAAAACACATCAATCCATCTTTTTATGTGTATGACTCATGAAGGAAAAATGATGACTTCATTTCCAAATTACATGCTCTGCTGCTATTTTGTAACCTTGAAGTTGTAATAACAATAACATTGTTACCCAGTTAGGCAGACTTTGTTTTTACTGGTTTTATATCTGAAATGTTGGGGACTAACATAACAGCAAACACTATAAAAAGGCTGAATTCATTTGAAAATCCTGACTTTTTTCAAAAGTCAGAACATGGGACATTTTCTGAGATTAAAAACAGGGTATACGGAAGCTGGGGGCATTAATACAACCTAGAGTCACCTGGGAAGAGGGACCCTCAACTAAAGAATTGCCTAGATCAGATTGGCCTGTGGCCATATCTGTGAGGCATTTTCTTAATTGTTAATTGATACAGGTGGACCCAGCCCTCTGTGGGCAGTGCCATCCCTAAGCAGCAGGGCTTGGGCTGTAGAAGGACACTGGGCAAACTGGAGGAAGCAGACCAATAAGCAGCTTTCTTCAATTGGTTTCTACTTCAAGCTCCCACCCTTGAGTTTCTACCTTGGTTTTCCCTAATGATGGACTATAACTTGTAAGCCAAAGAAAACATTTCCTTGGGGCTGGAGAGATGGCTCAGCGGTTAAGCACACTGATTGTTCTTGCAGAAGACCTGGGTTCAAATCCCAGCACCTACACGGCAGCTAACAACTGTCCATAATGCCAGTTCCAGGGGATCTGACAGCCTCTTCTGACCAATGCAAGCATTTCACGACACGGGTGTACTTACCTACATGCAGGCAATACATGCATACACATAAAATAAAAATAATAAAATTAAAAAAGAAACCCTCTCTTCAAGTTGGTTTTGGTCAATTATAGCCACAATGGAAAGCAAATTAGACTAGCACCTCTGTCCGTGGTGGTTTTAATAAAGTCTCTTTCACTAGCAAAATAACAACAGTCTGGGACTTCTAAATAATCAATATGGAAACAGCTTTGTTTTTCACAGTCCACATATTTGAGGAGCTCAATGCTCGGAACAGGTGGATGGGAAGCCAGAACAGATAACTTATTTCACTCGCCATCTCTGTGTCATGCAGGCATTTGTGTCCACAACTGAATTCAGAATCCTATGAGCCATTTTACCAATCCACCGAGTTCCAACTCCTCAGAAGCAAGCTGGCTCTGCCCTATTTTCTGGTTATCTTCAATTCAGCAAAATGAGGACAAATATTCCATGTTAGCCGAAGCCCAAGACTTGTTTCTATTATGATTTGGATATGAAGTGTCCCCTTGAAAGGGCTCGCGTTTTGAAAGCTTGGTTTCTAGCTGGTGGTACTATTTTGGAAGAGTCTGGAAACTTGAAGAGGTGAGACCTAGATGGAGGAACTGGGTCACTGGGACCTTTGAAAGGTACTCCCAGTCCCCACATTCCATCTCTCTCTGCTTCCTGACTAGGATGAGATGAACAGCCTCTACCACATGCTCCACTGTCATGACGGCCTTACCACAGACCCAGAATCAGCAAAGGCAAGGACTACATACTCTGAAACCCTGAGCCAAAATAAATTTCTCCACATAAGTTTTCTCTCAGGTATTTGAATCACAGCTAAAGAAAGCTAAGCAATGCCTCTGCTTTCTGATCTAGTTTTACCTTCAAGGTGATGCTTGTCCCCAGTTGATGCCAGGTTCAATAAATTAAAACACAAAGGGGACAAGGAGAGAGGGGTTGTCCCCCCAAAATTTCTAACACTTACCAGTCTGGACAAGGCTCTGGACCCGGCATAGATTATACCCACAAACAGCAGAGAAGCAGGAAGCCACTTCAAAACATCAGATCTAAAAAGACAGGAAGAAACCGTTAACATTTTTGCTACTTTTTGTTTGAAAAGACCTAGCTGGAAGGGTTGACCCCTGAGACACCAACTCCTTCCATGAAGATTGCCTAAATATCCTTGAGGGACCTGTTAAATGGTGCTCTTTACCCACTGAGAGAGCAGAAGAAGCAGAGGAAGAGACCCAACCTACAGTCCCATCACTGTGACAACAACTTAGCATTCAGGGACATCCCAAGGGCTGGAAATGGAAGAGGACTTGCTACAGGCTGGAATATTTTCCTCAAAGATGGTAATTTTTAAAAAATATCTTATTTACTATTTTTATTTTATGTGTATGCATGTATTGCCTGCGTGTGTAAGTGCACCTGTGTCATGCAATGCCCGCGGAGGACGGAAGAGGCAGATCCTCTGGGACTGGACTTACGGACAGTTGTTAGCTGCCATGTGGGTGCTGAGATTCGAACCGGGGTCCTCTGCAAGAACAACCAGTGTTCTTAACTGCTGAGTTATCTCTCCAGACCCAAGATGGTAATTTTTAAGTAGACCAATACAAAATTTAAAAGGCTGTTGACATAAGATGTATCAAACATCTCCATAGGATCACAACAAAAAGGTCAAAAAAATTTAAAAAGTTAAAAAATAAATCCTAGAACTTGAATAGGATGGTCGTATTTTGGCTTCTTCACCCATTAAACTTGAATTCCAGAAAACCTCAAGGACTTCTGAAAGGCACACTTCTTTGACTCAATTTGATCATACTAGAATCTAATTTTTCATTTTCAGTCTAGAATCTTGCTCTCCTCAAAAAGGATAGGAAGAAAAAAAAAGAAAAATAATCCGACACACACTACATCTCAGAGGTTGAACTTGCTTCCCCATCTGCACTGGCATCATATATCAACCCTATCTACTATTTCAAGTTCTCACGGTTATCCCAACAATTAATAAAAATAAGTGAAGCAATCTGAGCAGGATATCACAATCACCCCCAAAGGATTCAACAAATGCAACTATGAAAGCACATATTCTCAAGAAGTAGACTTGGGGGCTGGAGAGATGGCTCAGCAATTAAGAGGACTGTGGCTGCTCTTCCAGAGGACCTGGGTTCAATTCCGAGCTCCCACCTGGCAACTAACAACCATTCATAACTCCCACTTCCAGGAGGTCTGACATCTTCTGGCCTCCACAAGCACTGGACATCACAGGTATACTTATATACATGCAGGCAAAACATTCATACACATAATTTTAAAAAGTAGGCTTCATTCACTTTATTGTCCAGAGCAGGCAGTCTATGCAAGATCAGACCTAGACTCAGAACATCATTATTTCTGGGCTCCAAGAAGGCCTCGGAACCTTACTCACTATATAAATTCCTTCAGCAAATGCTTTAGCAAAGTGCTGGGATGCACTGTGGAGAACAGCCTCACAGTGGGCATTTAGTGAGTGCTTACAAACAATCAGGCACTGGGCTAAATGTTTTTCATGCTGCATTTATTTTGGGGTTTTTTGTTTTGTTTTGTTTTTTGGCAGGGTATCCCTAGTCCCAGCCCAGCTAGAGATCACTATGTAGACCAGGCTGATCTTGAAGACCTCACAGAGCTCTGCCTGTCTCTGCCTCCTGAGGAATGGGATTAAAGGCATGCATCACCACACCTGGCGTTCACGCTGCATTTATTTTTATTTTATGTGTATGAGTGTTTTGCCTGCATGTATATAAATACACCACATGCATGCAATGCCTGCAAAGGTCAAAAGAGGGCATCAGATCCCCTGGAACTGCAATGTGGGTGCTGGGAACAAGACCTGGGCCCCTGTAAGAGCAGCCAGTGCTCTTAACCATGGAGCCATCTCTCCAGTCCCACATACAGCATTTTCAAAACTCTACACAACAGGGGCTAGGGAGATGGCTGAGTTGGTAATGTTCTTGCTACACAAGCAAGAGGACCTGGGTTTGATCCCATGTAAAAAGCATGTATGGTGGCATCCTTCTATAATAAGCCCAGCACTAGGGAGGTAGAGACAGGAAGATCTCTGGGGCTTGGTGGCTGCCAGTCTAGCTGAATTAGAGAGCTTCAAGTTCAATGAGAGACTTTTTTCAAAAATAAGGTGGACAGCAACTAGAACGACACTCAATGTCAACCTCTGGCCTATGTGTACATGTGCATATACACATGTACATATACATACACACATGCATACAAAAAAATCCACACAACAATCTTATGAGAAAGGTATTTGACTTAATAATGGTTTAGATTGTCAAGTGAAAGTTTTTGACTTTATGATGGCATGAAAGCACATCTGTTCTGTTTTGTTATTTCAATACAGTATTCAGTAAATGATATGACATATCCAACACACTAATGTCAAATAGGCTTCATGTTAGGTTATTTTCTAAGTATGAGGAGCATACCCAAAATAGACTAGACCAACCTCTGATGCTCTATAGGTTTAGGTTAGATATACTAAACGCTTTGTTCTTGTTTATTGTTTTTATTTTGAGACAGGGTCTCATGTAGTCCAGACTGGCCTTGAACTTGCTATATAGCCAAGGCTGGCTTTTAATTCTTGATCCTCTAAACTCTACCTCTCAAGTGCCAAAATTACAAGCATGCTTCATCATGCCTTGTTTATACTTTCAAATTACAAAGTGATACAGATATATTGGAGTATCTTTGAAAAAGACAGAGCCTTTCTTAAAAAGCTAGGATTCAGAAAAACTCAACCACCACCAAAATCACCCCAAGCCAGTTGCTTTCAGGTCCTTGCCTTGATAATTCAAAGAATGAAATTCATAGGGCTGGAAAGATAGCTCAGTGGTTAAGAGCACCTAAGTTCTTCCAGAAAACCAGAGTTCAGTTCCTGGCACACATTATCAGGCAGTTCATAACTGCCTGTAACTCCAGGTCCAAGAGTTCCCACATCCTCTTCTGGCCTCCAAGGGAACCCATATACTCGTGCCATACATACATACACATAAATAAAAATAAAATCTTATTTTTTAAAAAAAAAGAATGAAATTTTCCAGGCCTGGTGGTGCACACCTTTAGTCCCAGCACTGGAGAGGTAGAGGCAGGAGGCTCTCTATGAGTTCAAGGCCAGCCTGGTCTACATAGCAAGTTCCAGGCCAGCTGAGGCTACAGGGAGACCCTATCTCAAAAAAGACCAAAAAAAAAAAATCTAAATAAAAAAGAATGAAATTCACAGACCACAGAGAGTGAGTTTTGAAGGAAGTTTATTATAGATTCATAGGAAGGAGCTTAAGAAAAAGAGAAGGGGGGGATGAATGAGAATTCTGTGGGGTCCGAGAAATAGGGCACCATCAAGCTGCTAAGTCTGTGGGACTTATGACAGAAACTGGGTGAGACAGAGAAGCAGAAGAGCTGGTCAGTCTAGTTGGCCCAACCAGGTGTCTCCTCAGTTTCTGTCCCGCAGTCATTTATAGCATTTAGGCAGAAGTGCTAATTTAGATTTTTAAAAAACAAAATACAGGAACCAGAACTCTCTCCTGGTATTTCTGGCCTCCAGCAAGAACTGTGCTTGACCAATTTCTATCTCCTGTTCTCATCAAAAGTTTTCAACTCCTGATTGATTTACCAGGATGAAACCCCATCATTAGTCAGGAGCACCTACATTATTACCCCACTGTGCTTTCCCAGAAACATGCACAGAGACCTTTGGTCACTCTCCTATAGAACAGCTGGCAAATGGCAAGTCCAGAATTTGAAGTCAGGTCCACCCAGCCCTAAAGCCCTAGCTTTTCATCATGTCTTTGTACTTTGCCCTAATGATGGACAAGGATATAAACAGGTAAGCTTCAGGCGCAGTAGGAGTTTGGTAGCAGGCAAAACAGAGGAAGAGTCTCTTATCGCTAGCTCTGCAACAATAGATGTCTCCACTCCCAAACCAAAAGGTAGACAGAGAGAGGAGTACGCTACCCCCACCCTCATAGGCCAAGAGAAACAGTAATCATTACTCCTCTAGGAAAAGACTTTCCCACTTAGGACTTGTGACAGTAAGTTCATAGGGATCAAAGGAGACAAGACACAGACCCACAGCAGGTCATGCACTGGAAGGAGCCCAGAGCATAAGCCATAGGCAGAGCACTGAAGAGGAAGAAGGGGTTGCTGGGGGCCAGCCAGCAACTGACCTCCCTACAACAGGCCCTGGATGTTGGAATGTAAGGTCAGTGAGGCCCCAGACATTTGCACTCCAGTCCATCTTAATGTAAACAAAGGAAACTCCTGCTGAGCTAGACACCAAGAGACATCCAGCAATGGCACCGTTGATGGGGGATGTGAGGAAAAGAAGACACGCCAGGGGAACATCTTGCATGTTAATCCCTCTGCTCCAAAATACAAAGAAGTAACTTCAACTAGATATACACAAGTCCAGTGGGACTCAAGAGGTTTCTGGGAAACATGACAGGGAGGCTGGGTGAGCATTTTACTCCATACACTGGTCCAGGACCAAGGCGTAGGACACTAGGGCTTGTACTGGACAGTCCTCTCACTTGGAGATAACACAGAAAAGCAATATGTACTCATGAGACAGTGTTTATCCCCCAGTCAAAAAGGGGTGCAGACACTTTGCTAGACCTGTGGGAGAAGTAGTTGTATAACCAGCCTGGCAGAGATGAAGAGATTAAAGATACATTTGTGGCCCTCACTTTAGCTGGCAGAGTGTTGGAAACAATAAACTACTGAAACAAGAAACTGGAATTCCCCCAGCAATCTCAAGCTAGAAGAGAAAGCTTGCTCTGTCTGCTTTTCGATATTTAATTTGGCTGTTTTAAACGGCTTATCAAGGACAGGTGGCTGACCCTGGCTTACCGGGGCATAGACTGTGACCCTAAGTCCACTAACAGTTGGCTGTGGGGGTCCTTGGCCTTCCAAAGCACTCAGTGAGATGCTGCTGCCTCCACCATCTGCCAACATCGACATCAAGAAAAATGCTTCAATTATAATCCCACTATGCACAGATAAGCAGTTAGGCCCT